ATATATGACTGGACACCATGTATGAAACCAGCCAATTTTAATTTGTTCAATAGTTAAGCAGCTTAGGACTTTTGTATAACATTTAAAAAGGCCTCTGAATCTTGGTCTTATGTCTCACTACACATTTTGGGCCTAATAAGCTAATGTTGATGCATTCACATTTCTTTCAGGAATGCTTTGTACAAGCCAAATGAATTATATTAAATTTTAAAACTTCATGCTAAGCAGAATTATTGTAGCTTGAATTTGGGTTCCTATCATGTGAACTTAATATTTCTATTACAACAATCTTTCCTGTAGTAGTTAGTATTACATCTGCAAATGTGTTTGGCAAACTTTCCCTATACAGAACAATCATTCTGAAATCAGACAGATATTAAACCGACAGAATCACTTTCCTAAAATTAAAGGTCCCATAAAATAAGAATCCCACAGGAACAGGTCCACTGTCTGTAATTCCAAATGCATTGCCCATATTTGTCATAAATCAATCCATGGCTTAATTTGTAAATAAATAATGAAGTCAGGTCTTTAGATGAGCTCAAGTTAATGTGGAATGAACAGCCATCACAGGAAAGACATTTTAGTTGTATATCTAACTAAGCTTTAGCCAAAAGAAAAGTCCTAGTAGATTCAGTCAAAGATTTATTTGATCTAATATTCTGTATTTCACAGTGGCCAATCAAATAGATTGAAAGTTCACAAGAATGGAAAGGAGGAGAATGATACTCATTCCATAAGTACTTATATTTAAAACAAAGCTGCTTGCTGCTGCTTGCCATGTATGCAAGCTCCAAATTTCATTCCATTCAGGAAGAAATCAATATGGTCCAGCATCTTAGTTTCTTTAATGGTCATTTCATTTTTCTGGAAAGTTCATACAAGCCAGTCCTTACAGATATCCCATATTACTGACTTTTTCTTACCTATATCTTTTCTCCTTTTAAGTTCATTTATATTCATGTTCATATCTTTCATAGCAACCAAGGCATCCTGAAGTGCTTTGTGGTCAGGGTGAGACCTGGGAGTTGCATTCAAGAGCTCACATAATAACAAAGGATACTTCATTACACGTTGTATTGGTTTGATCATCAGAGATCCCATGTCTAGTAGATTTGGTTTTCCCCTAGAATTTAAAGTAAGCCATGTTAAGTACAAAAGAGAATTCTTGCAAAATAGGGAAGAAGAAGATTGTATTTCCTTGTAATAAGTTGCTTTCACAATAACCCCACGCTAACCGTAATTCTTACTGTGATACACTTAGTAGTGGGGAAATGTTAGCATGAATGTTTGATACGCCTATTTCTGCAATTGCATTAGCATCTTTGTTGTTTAATATGCCAAATGATCAATATCTTCCATTGTTTTATGTCATGAATCTTAGCGGGAACAAAAATCTAATTCCCTTCTGTTGTAATTCTGAGTCACCTACTTTTCAATGACTGTGCTGTCATAGCACACCAAACCACAAACTAAGTACCACAGTTTAGTTCAGTATAGTATACAAAGCCAGCTTTCTGGCTAAAGGTAAAGATTTCCCTTCTCCAGTCATGTCTGACTCTAAAAGGCAGTGCTCATCTCTGTTTCTTAGTGAAGGAAGCAGCGTTTTCCAAAGATACTTTGGTGGTCATGTGCCTAGCATGACTATATGCTGAGGTGCATGGAATGCTGTTACCTTCCCACCAAAGTGGTACCTATTTATCTACTCACATTTGCATGTCTTTGTACTACTAGGTGAACAGAAGCTGGGGCAAATAACAGGAGCTCACCCTATTGGGTGGTGTTTGGGTCTCAAACCCAGGCTGTCAGCTTTCCAGCTGACAAGCTCAGATTCTTTAACCAGAGCCATCCCACCTGCTAGCTTAAAGTGGAAGCTCACAGTATTTGCTTAATTCAATGAATGATAGTTACCTTAGCTGTAGATACGCAGATTGCTTAAATACAGCTGCAAATGACAAGAGATATTGTCTATTTATAAAAACATTACTTTTTGGAATGGTTTAACTGGTTTAAAAGGCTATTCCTGAGCTAATTTCGACCCTAGATTTAATAGCATTTGTGGTGATTATGCAGAGTTTAGGGAATGCTTCCATTACAGTGATCAGAGACTGCGTTTTACCAATCAGGGCCTTTTACCATTTACTGTATACTACCACAAAACTTCACTGTATCAGACTGGAAATAAAACTTCAGTTGCAATTAATCTACTATAACTAGTACAATCAGATTTTGACTTTCTTTCTATTGGCAAAGTAAATTCATTTAACAGTTGCAGATATGTTTTTTTCATGACTTGGGAAGCCTTGCTTGTTTTCTTACTATAAATCAGACTGTCATTATGGTACAAGAAATGGGCAGGTTACTACATCTTTTGCAATCTGAGTTTTTCTCCTGAGGGAGTTTGATTACTGAACTCTATCCAGCAACCCAAGATTAGATTAGATTAGATTAGATTAGATTAGATTAGATTAGATTAGATTAGATTAGATTAGATTAGATTGTTGCCCTTCCCCGTTGACTCAGTGACTTTACTGTTTAAAGTTGGAATTGCTATTATTTTTCCCAGGTACACATCTTATCTTGGCAGGGTCATTTCCTAAATACTATGGCTGCAAACCATACTAAATCTCAGATGTTAGTGGCAAACCACTTCTATATTATCTCCAGGAAAACTCCATGAACTACAGTACATGTCTATGAATTCATCAGAATTCAAGCTCAACTTGAAGGGGACCTTACTTTTTGAAAACAAGCAAACAAACAAAAGGACCCATGCTACAGAATAAGGAAATTAATTTCTGCCATGAACTCAGTTGTTTGAACAGAGTTATTCAAGCTAGATTTGACAGCTTGGGGGAGCTCCTACTTCATAGTATAGAGAACTCTGTTTCTCTGTTTAAACTAAAATGCAAAAGATTTACACAGAAGGATTCTCATTTCTTTGTAGCTGTATATGTGTGTGCCTGCCTAAATGACTCTCAAAATTATTCATAGGATGTCATAGAGCTATTATTCTGCTAATCACCAACATGTCTTTGCTATGAGTTAAGGGCTCTGGATAGAGCTTAGAGAAAAGGGTTATTGTGGAGCTGAAACATCTAGTAGACAGATGTGCAGAAATCCACATGCCAAAAGGCTCATTAGGATTCAAAAAAAAAACCCAGAGCCTGTTATTGTGTCTGGATGCTTGGAGGTTACACGAATCCCCTATATCTAGTCCAAACAGCCCCATCCATATATTGTATTTTGAAAGCTAATGAATTATTGACCAATTTATAATCTGTGCAACTCAGAGCTTTTGGTATAGACTTTGACAATGATAAAGGCACATTAATTTGCAGAAATTCAGCACAAGTAATTTAATTCACATCTGCTATTGGTACACCTAGGCAAGATCTCTCTTTTTTGTTTTTGATGTTTTTTAAATAAGCACAACCTTAACTACATTTGTTTGAAACAAGAGCTTTATTATGCCAACTCAGGATCACAAAAATCTTTCTAATTAAGAAATTTTCATTGGCCAAGGAAGGGTAGGTCAGCTGTTGAAACTGTGCCTGTGTTTTGTTATAGGACAAGCATACCTGTATATATTATGGCAGGTCACAAACAAGTTCCATTCATGACCAGAGATACTGCACCAATAATGTTTAGGTTGAATTGGGTAACATTAATTATATGGATGCTGTATTTAGAGTTCAAAACTATACACATCCAATCATTCAACAACCAACAAAAGGCTGGCTTTACAGAAGCTGTTAAGCCAGAACATGCTTTATTTATTTTTTTGGCTTTTGTATGTTGTATGAAGCCAACAAATTGCACTTTATTAAATAAATCTTGTTTAAACCAGCATTGGATGTGGAGACCATGAGCAGAAGGCAACAAAATGACTGCGAAAGAGAGGAAGTCACTGGAAATGTAGCAGCTATTCCCCTACTATCTTTGACATCAGCACTCCTATCATCATCATTCCCCATCACTCTTATAGCAGCCAGGAGGAGAATGTGGACAGCAAGTCTTCACTATCCATTTGCTAAAGACCTGAAGGCAATTTTCTTTATCTTCAGGCTACTAATACCCTTAGAGGTAGAGCTCCATGTAGAGCTCCATGGATAGCATGGCCCGATGGATGTTTAACACTATGAAGGAAGGATTTTGAGGGGGCATGAAGATGTGAGAAAGTAGGCTCTTTTGTATTTCCAGAGTATGAGAGTGAGCAAGTTGACTCCATCTAGCCCTTTCATATACTGTATGAATGTTGGATTAAGATTAGGTTATGTTTCTGATCTCCTTCTTTCTTGTTTATCTTTTTAACTGAATAAGAGTTTTTTGCTTGATTATGTTCTATCAAGTCATGGTGGCTCAGTGGTCAGAATGCAGTACTGCAGGCTATTTCTGCTGACTGCCAGCTGCCAGCAGTTTGACAATTTGATTCTCACCGGCTCAAGGTTCTGAGGTCCATAAAGTGAGGACCTAGTTTTTGGGGGGCAATATTCTGACTCTGTAAATCACTTGGGGGGGCTGTAAAGCATCGTGAAGTGGTATATAAGTCTAAGTGCTATTGCTATCGCTATTCTTAGTCCTCAATTGACTACTGTATGTGATACTCCTCACCATATAGATACTGTAGGTTTTCTGAATGAATTGCCCCTAACCTGCTCAATTTAATGTTTAGTTTAGTTTAATGAAAAGAGGGATCGGGATGACATGATAGCAATGTTCCAGTATCTTAGGGGCTGCCACGAAGAAAGGGGAGCCAATCTATTCTCTAAAGCATCTGAAGGCAGAACAAGAAGCAATGGATGGAAACTAATCAAGACAACCAACCTAGAAATAAGGAGCAATTTCCTGACACTTAGAATAATTAATCAGTAGAACAGCTTGCTTTTAGAAGTTGCTTCAGTGCTCCATCCCTGGAGGTTTTTAAGAAGCGACTGGACAACCATTTGTCTGAAATTGTATGTGGTCTCCTGCTTGAGCAGGGGGTTGGACTAGAAGACTTCCAAGACTTCCAACTCTGTTATTCTATTATACCATTCTAAGTCCATCCACCCTGCTTCTGGCCATAATCTTCTTTTCTTCCACCTTTACCACCATTACAGCCTTTTCCAGTGAGCTGGGTCTTTGCATAATGTGTCCAAAGTAGGATAATTTGACCTGTTCACTTGTGCCTGCAATGAGAACTCTGAATTGATTTGTTTGACAATCCATTTGTTTGTTTTCTTGGCTGTCTATGGTTTTCTCAATATTTTTTTACTTTATTGATTTCCCCCCAAAATGGAATATAATAATATATTCACAGATTTATGTACATAACATCCAGATCTTATTATACATATAAATAGGTTTCACAACTAGCCATCCCAGATGCAGACCAGTGCTAGAGTATTCTATAGGTAGTCCTCAATTTATGACAACTGTTAGGACTAAAATTTCTGTTGCTAAACAAGGCAGTTGTTAACTGAGTTGTGTCCAATTTTACAATCTTTTTTTGCTACAGTTAAGAGAATCACTGGAGTTTTTAAGTGAATCACATAATCATTAAATAAATCTGGCTTCCCTCATTGATTTTGCTTGTCAGAAGCTGGCTGGGAAGGTCAAAATGGCAAACATATAACCCTAGGATTCTGTAACCATCATAAAAACACACTATTGCCAAGAGTCTGAAATTTAATTACATGACTATGGGGATATTCTAATAGACTTAGATGTGAGGCCTGGTTGTAAATCACTTTTTTTCAGTGACATAGTAACTTCCAAAGATTACTAAATGAATGACTGTAAGTCGAAGGCTTCCTGTAAATATATAAATTGCTCCTATTTGGGAAATGTGCCTTCAATAACTCAGAACAAATGGAAAACTTCTGAAGTATGTGTGTTTTCCTTCGCTGGACAGGGGCAAAAAAAAACCAGTTTTGGGACCAGCAACAGCAAATCTAAGAAGCTACAAAATCCACAACATGGGGGGAGGGCATTTTTCTTTAAAAAAAACCAAACCCATTTAATCCAACATGGGGAAATTAAGTCTTATTGATTCATGTACCCTACACTTTTCTATATTGTAAAACGTTGACTATTTTGCGTTGCTGAACTTATGCTTAACAAAAAAGTATTTTCTAAGAACCATATCTATTTTCAGTACAGAGTGACGTTCCAGGATTAAACATTTAGTTGACTTGCTTTATGTAATTCTTTGTTTTCTATTTTTTTCAAACAAAGATAGAAAAGTCTCAAATTTAGATCAGGGAAACTAGATCTAATTTTCTTTCAACCATGAAGCTTACCAGATGATTTTGAGCAAATTGGGCATTCTATATCCACCTAGCTGATCTCAAAGCTGAAGATAAAATAATAGAAATGGACATAAATGAGGAATTTGGATGAGAATGCCAAAACTGTAATACATCTAAATAAATGTATAACTTACCCTTCTTCATATATCTTTCTGCAAAAAGAAAAAGAAATACAAAATCATCAGCAGTCTCTTAAGAAAAGAGAATATTAGTAGGCTGATCGGGTATCTCTGATTTTTTTTTTTTTGAGCCAGTGAGCGTTAAGTATTTTGAGAACTGTCACAGGCATCTAATGAAATGGCTACCATAGAGAATCTAACCAATCATAACATACCAATTTTCCAGAACTGTTGAAATTGTTTTCCATGACACACAAGTACATCTTTAGTCTCCCAGATGCATTCTGTCACCTCAGCTTACCTTTGTATTTTTTTCTTGGCAGATAAACACACATCCTAACAAAACACAGGCTGGAGCCACCCACTGCTTTTATTGTTAAGATGAATAAAAGAATATATAAAAGAATAAAGTATTTATTGTTAAAAATAAAACCAAAAGGATCCATGAAGAATTCAGAAGCCGTATTGCAGACCTTAAGTGCTTAAACCAAACTATATCTTGATTTAGTATTGCTACAATAAGGCAGTAACTTTTTCAATATTACATATCCCTTCTGGCGCAATGGGACTTTTGAATCTTCCCTTCAGTTTTAGATTCATCACAGTTTGACATTATATTGTAATGTTTGGGGATAAAATAAGGAGAGGGGTCTATTTGTCTGGACCTGAGAAAGGATGAGACATTTAACAAATAAATAAATAAATATTAATAAATAAATAACTTTCAAGTATTGCTTTGTTGAAGAACAACTGGAGTATTAGTTGTGCAATTTTCTAAGTGTGTTTCACTTTATTGATTCTTCAATGAATTATTCACTTCCAATCTACTTCATGAAGCAATACATTCCACTTGCTTCTAAGAGTCAAGCAAAGCACCCACCCCTGTGGCTTCACTTCACTGTCTTGTATGAACCCTTCCAAACATTCCAAAATCTGGAACAGGCTGATACCCATGTGCTTCCATTCAATTGCTGGAATTCTCACAACTGCAGTAAACAGAACTGGGGTTTAGTACTTAAACATATGAATTCTTGGGCCTTATTGCATGAATAATAAGGAAGCCTATTCTTAATATTCCATTTTTGCACTTCTGAGGAAGAAATGGTGAATTAAAGGAAGCTCCGCTAAAAGTGGAACCAATGACTGCAATGGAATGAAGAACTGGCAAATGGAGTGGCTCTTTGTAATTCCTCTCTGGACAAGGAGAATACCTGAAATCACCCACAAGTTCTCCTTAGAGTTGCTCCTTGCAAGGAAACTGCAAGACAGTGGTCTTTGGCAGCTTTATTGCTCTGAGAGACAAGGGAATACGCATCTTGCTCAACCAATGGTTGGGTGTATATAAAGTTGATGTATTTGACTAAGATTAAATAAACATCTTGTTATCTCTGATAATCCTTAATGGACTTTTGCTGATCAGTACTGAAACAATGAAGCTTTAAGGATTGTTTAGAGATAAGATATGGGATACGAGAAGAAGAGATTATTTGTTGTATTTTATGAGAAAGTGCTAAGTTATTGAAATGGTTTATACTTGTGAAAAAGGGTAAGTCATTTCTTTATCTTTTCTTTTTCTTTACTATTTTCTATTTTTCTTTTCTGCACTTTATGTTTTATTTTTATTCTTTTGTTTTTTTAGTTTGTATTAGTTTTTTATCCTTATAATAATAATTAAAAATAAAAAGTAATATTATATTTTTGCTAACACTTTTAATTCTTTGAAGCCATGCAAAAGGAGCCAAGAGCATTAGATAAATCTAATCAAGTAACTTCTTGAAAAAACAGTCCCTAAAGGAAAGACTCTTAATAAAGCAAACTGTTGAAAATATAATCCCCCTCCAACTCTCACATAATTTACTCTCACATATGCTTTGAAAATGTTTTTTTTTTAAATCTTACTTCAAGGATTGTAGACAATCTTTTATACATTGTTTCAATTCCTCATCCTTTTCATAGAATTCCAGAAGAAGATGAGCATCATCATGATGGTAACAGTAGATTTTGTATGCTTCTTCTAGTACATCTTTAATCTGTAGAAACACCTGACCTGGGAAAGTCAAAAACATTCATATAAGCCAAAACAAAACCACTGTCAGATGATACATGGTCTCCCTTAAATCTGTAAAGAGATATATGGTTTCCTGTAAAAGCTGCAGGTCATTTATGATTGGTCTTGGAAATTCTGCTTTCTGCTTGTCTGTGAGTTGGAATTCCTGCCTATGAGTAGGAATCTCAGTTGGCTTTCTCAGTGGTAGTGCTGCAATTACTGAATATTGCTCTAAATGACATCCATTAAGGTCTCTTTTTTAAGAGAACCTATTTTACACAGGACAGTTCTTTGGTTCAAGTCAACTTTGGAGAACTATAAGATCAAAGAGTTGTCCATGATTTTAGTCCTTCAGCAATAGGAATTATTTCTTTAAGGAATTACCTGCATTAGGAATATTTCCTTGTCATTCTCAGTTACGTCAGGATGTACAAACCAATCTTTATTTATATTCTTGGTTTGAAAATAAAGCACTGTTAGGCTCTTTGATTTATAGTGGACACTAAATTAAGTCATTCCTGGTTTGTTCAATAGTCACAATAATGGTAGGAGCCCAGTGATAACCAGCTTCAGGAGCACACAGAGACTTTGCTTGGTTTTGAAACACAAAGCTGTTATGAAAGGAAGCACTAAACAAAGAAAAGCACACACCAAAAAGGAAGTCAGTCTCTGACTTCTTGAAAGCAACTGAAAGAAACTTCCTGAAAGAATGTACTTCTCATTAAGAGTATGAGGCAGGTAGAGAAATGTGAAAGCATAAGCATGGTCTCATTTGATACTTCAGCTGCAAAAATATATCTGTAAAAAGCAGCACCTCTGTGCAATGTATTTATTTCGTCTCCTATCTAATTTGGGGACAAAACAATTCAGTCTTTGATTTTTCCTTTGTGTCTAGTAACTAAGATAAATGCCAAACACAGAAAGGTGAACTGGGTTGACAAGAGGCTAAATGCACAGCTTTCATTATAGATAAAGTGCACATGGATATGATTAAATAGAGCCATATTCTTTTTACTGCATGCATAAGAAAAGGAAACCTTCTCTTCCCCTCAGCCACTCACATCATTTACTTTAATAATGCTACTAAGAATACGAAAAAACAACCTACTAAAGGCCTTCAATCAGAGTGTCCTTGAATGCTGCAGAAGGCTGTCTCAAAAAAGCCATTCAACTTATAATTAGCTATAATGAAACCTAATTATTTTTCTACCCTGTTGCCTCTAAACCAGGAATCACATAGCAAGTCTTACAGTCAACAATAATATTCATGTTTCTTCTGAAATTAACTATTCATTGGCTGGTTTCATTAATCCCTTTAAGTCATGAAGCACTTGACTTCCTTTTGTTTTAGTGTTCTGTGTCATTTGTGCTAAGTCCTAACTTTAGGTTGTTGTTTAAACCCAGCCAATATCTCAGTCAACAAATCATGATTTGTTATGTCTTATTTGTTTCAAAAAAAATAAAGACAAAGCAAAACGTTATATAATGTAAACCCAAACAATCAGAAAGCTACAGGTTACATGAAGCAGCTGTGGACATGTTGATGCTTTTCCACAATAGATATGGTTGATGTATTTATGAATTACATCTTTAAACTCAAATGCTCCAAAGTAAATCTTGCTATCTTCAGATCTCTAATTATAATCTGGATGTCAAATTTGAATCAGATCTTCACCCTATGCTTGTGTCTGTGTGTGTGTGTGTGCATGCGTGCACGCGTGTGTGTGCATGTGCATGCATGTTCATGGAGGTTAAACACTTATTCAGTCTTGACTAAATCTTCATCTTTGCTTTTGTTTGATAATCTGAAATCTAAGAACTATAGGCTAGATTGAGAAGTTGAAAAAACATTGGAGGAGGACAATGACAAATCACTACTCATACCAAGAAAACTGCTTGAATGTGTTCTAGTTATATGTCCGTCCTCCTGATTTAACATATTATATACATAATATTGAATTATATCATAGCATAAATTAGGACCAACTAAAAGATCAAAAAGTTATCTAGCTTTTGCATTC